GCATCATTGACAGTACCATTAACCTTAACTCTGAAATCACCCTGGAGTCCTTGTGGTTAGCATTTAGTAACTAAATATTCCACATTGATGGCTCATTTTCATATTACTTAGACCCGAGTCCCATGCATCACTATGACAATGTTCCCCATCTCACCTCTGCTTAAATATTATTTAATACTTAAGTCTCATTTAATTACTTTCTTTATTAAGGGCAGATACTTACAAAATAGCTTTTTAAAAGACAAAAGCTATGCCTTTTAGTAAAATTGTCTCTTTCCCAAAGATGGATGTGTATCAGTACAAAGAATGGTCTAATCTGGCATCTGTTTATTTCTGGAAGGAACCTTGATTTTGCTAATACATTTCTATGCATCAGAACCAAAAAAAAAAAAAAACCCATCCATAAAAAGACAATTACAGAGATGCAATCAAGCATTGATAGCAGTATTCAGACACATCTCAAAGAACATTAAGGAGAGGAAGGATTACAGGTTTAGTTTTATGTAGCTTCTTATAAATCAATTTTTAAAGGAATTTCCCTACATCCAATGAGGGAAATTTGATTTCAGTAGGCAGTATTCATGTTCCAGAAAACCATATGCACTTTGTTCTATAATTATATGATGCCTATTGTTTTAGCCCAGAGACATTATTTTATTTATTCCACAGTCTGCTTCTCCCCAGAGCCTAAGTCACAGGCTGGTAATGAGTTCGGTGCTCAGAGGAGAACCATCATGTATCCAGCATCCCCTCGTGCACTCGAAGAACTGACGTGCACCCCCCAGCCCCTGAGCGATCACCCAGGAGTTTCACCTTGTCCACCAGCAGCAATGAAGAGAAACAGACGGAGAGGTTAAATGATGTTGTTAGGGGCTCACCAGAAGTCAGCAACTGAGTTTGAGATGGCTTGCGTGGGCTTTTCCCTCTCTGCCTGCTGCTCTGTGTGGAGCCTTCTCTTTGGCAGTGTCCACATGCCCTGGCCTGAGGAATGCAACGTGGAGAAGGAGACGCGGGGTGGGGAAGCAGGGGCACCGTGCTTGGGATCAGTTCTCTGCCTTCCTGCCAGCCACCTCGTTTTGATGCCCCATCACTGGCAACATTCAGGTGGATGGGAAGGCAGGAGGTGGGCGCCTCCATCATCAAGCCCAAAGAACCAGAACACAATCCCTGCAGAAGGCCTAGCTCAGCATCTCGTGCCATCCATTTACTGAGTATCTACTGAGGGCTCACTCGAGAGCTCACGTCCTCATCAGGCAGAGACAGATGCAAATGGTATGCTAAGTGGTAGTAAGTGCCAGAAAACGGGAAGTGACAGGTGGGGTGGGGGTTACAGATAGGGTGGGCAGATAACATTTGGGCAGACTTGAAAGAGGGGGGTGCAAGCCAGACTGACAGCCTGGAGGAGGGGGCAGGATGCCTGGCATGTAGGCAACAACCAGGGATCACAGTGTCGGAATGGAATGACCAAAGGAGAGTGGAGGAGGTGGGGATGGCAAGTCATCCCAGCAGACCCTCTAGGGCTGACTCAGGGTGAGGGAATAGGGTCTGGCTGTTGTGTAGAGGACAGAGTGGAGGGGCAGAGGTGGAGGTCCCCACTGTCCCCCAGATGAGAAGATGGTGCCTTAAACCACTGGTCACAGTGGAGGGGGTAAGAGAAGGTAGACTCTGAATACATTGTGAAAGAGAGCTCTGCTTCCTCACTGTATGAGGACTGGGCTTTGTCTTGTTTTCTGGCTTGGGTTTTTTCCTGAGGATTATACAAGGCTTGAGGGATGTGTGGTCCATGTGACCACATAGCGTCACCCAAGGGGCACCAACAGCAGGGGCCGCCAGAACCCGAGCCCAGCTTCCAGTGCGTCCTGCGAGAACTTGAAGGCTCAGAGAGGCAGACAAGGCAAAGTGCCAGGGGTCCCCCAGCGCCAGCCCCCACCAGCAGCTCTGGGATTACGCTTCGGGATGGAGTTTGCCCTGGAACCAAGCAGGTGAGGTACCAAGGGCTTCCCACATAGAGAGCTGCACCCGGCTTCCCTGCCCTATTTTCCAGCTGCCACTTGCCATGTAGCCTCTAAGCAAAATACATTTTCCTCCAGACTTAGGTTTTGACACAAACAGCTTAGACCAGAAATATGTCAGCCCAGAATTGACTAACCATTAACTTTTCATAAGCAACTCAGGTATGAACCCTTTATGACTCTGTTATGACACAGGACAAATCAGCTATCTGGTGTTTTATTTTTATTATCGAAGCTTCTACAGAGTGATATGAATGGCGCTTTTTTAAGCAGAGCAATGCTTCAGAGAGAAAACTCCCAGGGCTCTCACAACAATATTTTACTCCATTGGGAGCACTGGAGTGCATCTTTTTTCTGATCATGAAAGCGGGCTGCATGCATCCACGATCCCCCTTCCCGCCCCGTGCCCTCTGCCAGGCTTCCTTCTGGGTCTGCACCCCCTCACAAGTTAATTAGCCAAAAAGCATCCTTAAAGGACTCAAGATGGTGGCAGTGAGGCCCTCTGGAGTGTGAGCAAGGCAGAGGGTCAGTGGGTCAGCTGCTCTGTGGTTGCCCTCAGACAACCCCTGTGACACAGTGACTGGTGGCCTTCCCTCCCTCCCGCCACCACAGTGCTTCTGTGGAAAAGGGCACAGGGAATGGCAAGAGGGATGGTTTGGTGTTGGCTCTAGGAGGTCAAGAGGAGTTTTGTATGTCCTGCTAATAATAAGAAGAAAAGTGGGGCGCCTGGGTGGCTTAGTCGGTTCAGCATCTCCTTTGGCTCAGGTCATGATCTAGGGCCCTGGGATCGAGTCCCGAATTGGCCTTCCTGCTCAGCAGGGAGTCTGCTTCTCCCTCTCTCTCTCTGCCCCTCACCCCTGCCCCCTACTTGTGCATGCTTTCTCTTTTGCTCACTCTGCTCTTTCAAATAAATAAAATCTTTAAAAATAATAATAATAATAATAGGGGCAAGGTTGTCGAGAGTTTTCTTACAGAACCCCTGGCATCTGCCCCTCCTGGCTCTCTTTGCTGTCCCTTCTCTTGCTCTTTGTTTGCCCTCATTTTCCTCAGTAATGTTTCCCTTCTTGAGTTATTCAGGTCTCTGCAAGGCATCTAGAACTATTTTGGGACAAAGTGGATCTGACCCATGGTAGGCCATCTATCCCTGCAAGCCAACCTGTCCTACCACCTATTTTTTTTTTTTTTAATAAAATTTCACTGGGGCGCCTGGGTGGCTCAGTCAGTTAAGCGTGTTGACTCGGTTTTGGCTCAGGTCGTGATCTCAGAGTCATGAGATCGACCCCTGCCTCCAGCTCTGTACTCAGCACGGAGCAAGCTTGGGCTTCTCTCTCCCTCTCCTTCTGCCCTCCTTCCCACCCCACTCAGTCATTCACTCTCTCTAATAAATAAATCTTTAAAATAAATAAAATTTCATTGGAACTTAGAGACACTCATTAATTTATATATTGTTAATGTTTATCTTCATGCTACAAGGCAGAGTTACAATAGTTCACAGAAACCCTATGGCCCACAAAGCCAAAAATATTTGCTATCTGTTCCTTTAAGAAAAACTTTCTCATTTTTTTTTAAGATTTTATTTATTTGACAGAGAGAGATCACAAGTGGGTGGAGAGGCAAGCAGAGAGAGAGAGAGAGGAGGAAGCAGGCTCCCTGCTGAGCAGAGAGCCCGATGTGGGGCTCGATCCCAGGACCCTGAGATCATGACCTTAGCTGAAGGCAGAGGCTTAACCACTGAGCCACCCAGGTGCCCCTCTTGTTCTTGTTTTAATTCTAGTTAGTTAATGCACAGTGCTATATTAGTTTCAGGTGTACAATCTCGTGATCCAGTGCTTTCTCCCACCACCCGGTGGTCATCACAAGAGCTCTCCTTAATCCCCATCCCCTATTTCACCCATCCCCCCACCAGGACCTTCCCCTCTGGCAGCCATCAGTTTGGGTTCTTGGTTTGCCTCTTTCTAATTTTTTTTCTTTGCTTTCTTGTTTTGTTTCTTAAATTCCACGTGTGAGTGTATACATACAGTATTTGTCTTTCTCTGACTTATTTCACTTAGCATTATACTCTAGCTCTGTCTATAGTGTTGCAAGCAAATGGCAAATATCATTCTTTTTGATGGCTGAGTAATATCCCATTGTATTTATATAGACCACATCTTCTTTATCCATTCCTCTATTGATGGACACGGGTTGTGTCCTGTTTGGTTATTATAGGTAATGCCGCAATAAACATGGGGGTGCATGTGTCCCTTTCAATTAGTATTTTTGGATTCTTTGGGTAAATACCTAGCAGTGCAATTGCTGGATCATAGGGTAGTTTGAACTTTAACTTCAGCGAAACCTCCATACTCTTTCCACAGTGGCTACACCAATTTGCATTCCCCACCAACAGGGCAAGAGGGTTCCTTTTTCTCCACATCCTCACCAACACCTGTTGTTTCTTGAGTTGTTGATTTTAGCCTTTCTAACAGGTGTGAGGTGATAGCTCATTGTGACTTTGATTTGCATTTCCCTGATAAGTGATGAGGAATATCTTTTCATGTGTCTGTTGGCCATCTGTGTATCTTCTTTGGAGAAATATCTGTTCGTGTCTTCTGCCCACTTTTTAATTGGATTAATGGGGGGGTGTTGAGTTTTATAAGAAAAACTCGCAGAGCTACTCAGCAGGTAGACAAGAGCCCCCAGGAAACCAGCCAAGCAGGCTGAGGATTAGTAGTAGGAGGGAGCTCAGTTCATGGAAAACAAGAGGAATGAGTGGGAAAGTGTTTCAGCCCAGCCTCACAGAGAGTGTGAATCAGGCCTTAATTGGATAAACAAGGTTCAGGCCAATAACATGGAAGAGAGAGGGTGTGCCTGGCCCTGCCAGCAGCTCTGGCCAAACACGTGGGTTTGGCTACAGGGTTTTTGTTTTCCTGGAAAAGCAGGAGCCTGGGCTCTCCTTCCCAGCCTACTCACTAGGGAGGCCAACCTGGTTGTCTTCCTCACCCTGTGCAGGACTTCGGAGAGGACAACTCCCTCTACATCACCAAGGTGACCACCGTCCACATGGGCAACTACACGTGCCATGCCTCCGGCCACGAGGAGCTCTTCCAGACCCACGTCCTGCAGGTGAATGGTTAGTAAATGGCTCCATGCATGTCGTCCCCTCTAAGTGCTCCCCAAACGCTGCTCACGGCAACCCGCCCCACTCCTGTATTCTAAAAGATGTGTCCGAGTCCAAGATAGCCCACCTGTCTCATAAGTAAAGGGGAGCAGTGGAGAAAGGGCAGAGTTGGCCAACAAGTTTGTCAGTCGGCTTTCCCCAGAGGCCTCCCCTGAGGAGGTGATGGTGGTGCCAGGGGTGAGTCCCTCGGGCTGATTGCGCTCAGCAACTGAGGCTCCCGCAGACCCTGTAGAAGATGCCCTGCCCTCCCATGGTGATGGCCGGTAGCCGGGCTCTGGGATCCAGGGAGTAGTGGACACTGTCTAAAACACACCACTGCCCTTCCAGGGGCGTGCACCCATGTCACTTGTCCATGGGGAGACACGACTTCCTCCACGGGGGGCTGGTTCCCACCTCCCTCCTGGAGGGGCTCAGCAATCCACAGCCAGGGCCCAGCCAAGACAGAAACTGAGCAAACTCAGGAGGTTTTCGTTGCTTCTCACGGACCCCCGTGTTGCCAGAACTCCTAGAAACAGGGAATTATTAACCCCTCTTGAGGACACCAACAACAAACTAAAGTTTGTTAGCCAGTGATTTCTGAGCACTCGCCCTGGCCACTCCCTGCGCTAACACATCCCATAGGCTTTCCCGGTCAGTACGGTCTAACCTATTATGGCTAAATCTCTAGGTAAGGTCCCTTGTCTGCAGTCGCACGGCGGGTGGGAGTCTTCCCAGACCCAGCACTGCGCTTTGATGTCTGTGTCGCACTGCTGGCCCGTCCAGCCTGGCCCCTCTGGCCATCAGAACAGACAAGGCGTCCCCATGCCTTGGCAGACCTGCACCCCACAGAAGTTAGCCGTGTCCAGCCAGACCTAGCCGGGCTTCTCTCCTCATCCTGAGCAGGGTGTTCGTGTGTTCGTGTGGAAACTTCTAGTCAGCCCTAAATCTTTTGCACAAGCTGGTGCTCAGGGCTTCTGCTCTGAGAGAAAAGGAGCAAGGTGTTAAAAATGATTACATAATGAGGCTCAATTTCACTTTCCTCTGGAACCAGGGTAACAAGCCATTTAAGGACAACGGGGTGGTGCGCTCAGCCGGCATCTACATTTACCCTACAGGATGTCCGAGGGATTTTTATAGCCATACCTGCCTAACCCATATCCTAGTATTTCTCTTGACCAGGGACGTACTGAATTGTTTGGGGCTTTGTAGCTGGGCTTGCTGATCTGAATCCAGGCCTATGATGAATGAAGTCACCAGATTTCTCCAGAAAATAACCCAGGGGTTCCTAGATACAACAGCCCCTGGGGGAGTTCACCCAGACCAGATTCCAAGGTCATTCCTAAGTGCAGGCAGCTCAGCATGGGCTGCTCTGAGCAGAGCTGGAGCTCTGTAGCAGGAAGCTGGCTTTTCTGTCTGGAACTGGCAAGTGGTGCTCCACATGGTACAATGTGGGTGACGGTTTGGTTGGGAGGCAGCTCCCTGCGGTTTGCCCTGGGTCCATCGGGTCCTCAGACAAGCCTGGAGAAGGGAAATAAACCGTATTCACAGACTGTTCATTCTGCCCTTGGCCTCCTGCTGCCACTTCCCAAGAATAGGGGGCACAGGGAGATGGCTTGAGCTTTGTCCCATTTATTTCCTCCAAACAACTCCCTGAGGAGGGGAAGGGAGCCACCTGCCAAGGAACCTGAGTACCTCACAGGTGAGAGCCTATACTCGGGCCTCTGGGAAAGACTCTGGGGTCTCAGATGCCTTCATAGACTAAGTGCCAAGTCCATGGTGCCCCATGATCCCCCAGAATTCTGAGACTGAGGTCCTGATGGGAATGAGCCTGCGTGTCACTCCCAGAGCTGAATACAAGAACAAGGCCCAGACCCAGCACCATGAGGGATCGCTGAGTTTCAGGGAGAGAAGAGAGCCCTCCCCACCAGGAGGGAAGTGGGCTTCGTAGCTGGCATTGGAAAGCCCCATTCACACCCTCCCTAGCCACCCACCACCCCCACCCGAAGGCCCCTACAGACCTAGTCTCCACTGAAGAAACTGCTTTTGGCCCAGAAGAGTCTACACACAGCAAAACTTCCTGCTGAGAATCAAAAGAGGCCACTTGATTTCCTAACAGCAGACAGATGGAAGGCCTCTCCTGGAGTGGAAGCACCATCAGCAGTCAGAGGGACCATGCTGGGACATTTGTACTTTGTGATCAGTTTCCTATGTCATTAAATTGGCCCCTGGTGCTTGGCTTCTGTGACAGGCAGGTGGGGCAGCTTGGGTGGCCCTAGCTTCAGTAGCCCATGCAGTTCCTGGGCTGGGCTGATTCCCAGACACTTGGGGGAAATGTGTGGGTCCCCTAACCAGCTCCCTCATGGGAGCACCATGCTAACGTAGGCCCAGAGTTGCCTCCCAAGGACACAAGGGCACTGTCAGTTGACCTGGGAATTAGAAGCAAGGCTTTCTGAGTATTGTAAGCTTGCTGTGTTGGACAGAAGGGAGCAAATGTCTTATCTGTATGTGAAGATGCTGAAAATAGGATATGAAAGATGATTATGATAGCATTGTGTGAGTACATACTGCGTGCCATCCCTGTTTAACAGATGAGGTCACCAGGGATCCCAGCACCCAGTCCTGCAGTTAGGAACTGCAAAGCCACTCTTGACTCCAAAGCCCAGACTCCCCACACCTGCCCTGTCCTGCTGTACCCATCCTTACCCAGGCATCGTGTTATTGCTGTTGGAGAATCCGGATGTTGGATGTGGGTGTGGTCATTCAGCAGCTGTGTTGTGCTGCTGTGGGCTATGCACTCTGGAAGACAGGTCCCAGGAGGGCTGGAGTGTTGTGGAAGTCCCACAGTGGCGTTAGGCTCGGGGAGCTTTGCTAGGCTACTGCTTGGTGCCAGAGGCTGTCAGGCAGAGCCTGAGGAGGCTGAGAAGACACTTCTGATGCTCAGGACAGAAGGAAGGCTGCCTAGCCTAAGAGTACCCTGAGGAAGGGGAGAGAAAGCAGCAGCAGATTCATCTGGGGGATTGGTTCCCTTTTGCCATTCATGCCAAGCATGACTGAAAACCACGAAAGCTGTCCCTGAGCTGCCCGAGTAAAACCCAGTGTGGTTGCCCAGCACAGATGTTGGAGGTCTGGTTTGGTCCCCCCCTTGGCTGGGCAGATGGCCTGTTGCTTACTGAGCTGAGGCGGCGCCTGGGGCACCCAGTCAGGGAGTGATGTTCTGTGTCTGTTCCTTCGCAGAGCTTCTCCTCAACCAGAGGGAAGGGGCTGGGGGTGGGGGGGATGAGAAAGGGCGGGAAGAGGGCCCTGCCCAGTTACCTGCTTCTCGGAAGGCTCCAAGCCTTTCTAGGACTTCTCCACCCTAAGCCCCTTGCAGACCCCAGCTAGCAACCCTTGTCACACAGAGTCAAGACATGAACCCTGAGCCAGAGGCGCCTGGGTTCAAGGGCTTGTACTGGTGTTTCCTTGACATACAAGGAAGGCAAGTAAGCTCACCTTTAAAATGGGAAGAACAGTAGTACCTCCTGCCTTAAAGGCCTGATGAGATCTGATATTTCTCCAGTGCTTGGAAATCCCTGACGCAGACAGAGTTCACAGTTCAAGGTGGGACAGATATGGGAGAGATTTTGGTTGTCTCAAGCCACATGAAACTGTAGTTGGTAGACATAGATGCTCTGAACAGTGGCCCCTCAGAGAGCATGCAACCCATTATACAGATGGGAAAATCAAGACCCAGTGAAACTAGCCAAGACAAAAATACAATACTGACTTCTTTCTGGAGCTGCCCCACTCCTTGGCGGCAGGGGCCAGACCCCATCTTCTGGGGGTTTTCCATCCCCAACTCTGCATTGACCCGGTTGGCTAAAGGGAGCCCTTCCAGGCTACTACTTCACTCAAATTATTAGTATAATTTCCTCACAGACCAGGCCTCTCAGAGATGAGGCCCAAACACTGACATGATTTATAACTTCATGCAAACCTCCCATATTGCCCTCCTAGGAAAGAGCAAGAACTTGAGACATAAATGATTAATCCATTAAAATACCCCTCCAACTCCCCACAGTTCAGAAAGTAACGATTCATTCCCAAAACACAATGATCCTCTCACAAATCTGTTGATGACTCTAGCTTGGTCCTTTTGTGAATGTGCCTCTTACTTAGGACATATTTATGCTGCCTTTCACCTTGGAAATGATCCATGTTTCCCAAAGAAAATGGGCCTTTGTGTTACATATTCAAATGTTTTCACTGGAGGGTTTTGCAAATTTAAAAGAAAATGAATGTGTTTACCCAGAATATATTAATTTCAAATGATTTTTAGTGTGTGAATTAATACAAAAGGAGAGGGGAGATGCAGGCCAGAGGAAAACAGGTGCGTCTTTGTTGCCAGCAGGAAGCTGTGCCCGCACCCCAGCCCCTCAGTCTCTCACGGTGAGAATGCCAAGCTTTTCCTGACTGGGCCCCATCCCGGTGGGAACCAGGGCTCCCCGGGGTCTTTGACCCCTCCCTGACCCTCCTGTTTTTCTCGGGCTCACCTGTCCCTACAGAAGACTGCCTCCTGAGCTCTGGCTCTGCTAGGAGTTAGGAGTCACAGCTTCTGCCCAAAGGAAGCAGGTGTTCCCTCAGAGCCTGGGGCCTGGTCCACACCACGGCAGGATGTGTGGATGTCTCCTCACGTATGAGGACACCTGGGTTCTCAGGGCAGTAAGTGCAATCCCACTGCACTGAAGGGATAATGCTTTGGTTGTTTTTGTGTTTTTTGGTTTTTGTTTTTTAAACCTTGTCGGGCCAGTCTCCCAGTTAGCAGGTGGTCAGGTCCGGGCATGACGGGCTTCTCAGTGGAGCTCCTTGGTACCTCATGTGTCGCCTTCCATGTCACAGGCTCCCTTTGTGCAGGGCCTGAAGCCAGGAAGACCCAAGAGGGCCAGGACTGGGTGCAACAGCCCTTCGATTGTTGCTGGCCTGGCTGGGCCCCCGTG